GGGGGGGGGGGGGCAGTTAGGGTGGTAGAGGGATTGAGCAAAAAAGAAAAAAAAGTCATGGACATGGACAACTGTGGTGATGGGTGTGAAAGACAATAGAGGGTATAAATGGTGATGGAAAAGAAATATTTAAAAAATTTAAGAGTAGGTGAATGCTTTCCAGTTTTCTTAAATAAAATGACCCATGCAAAACATTGCTTATTTCGGTATAATCCTTGATTAAAAAATAAGATACTGTACATCTAGTTAGGAATAAAAGGAGGGGCAGGACTAGATTACAGTTGGGGGAAAGGCTGTTTATTTTGCTTATCTTAAGCAAGATATTAAAGAATATCTTCAAGTGGGCTGGCTTCCAACTCAGACCATGTACACAAAGCACCTCATTCTAAGGAGAGTAACTGAATGAGAAGTATTTTGCCCATGTTTATTTTCTCATACAAGTGTTATGTAAAACTTCTCATATGTGCAGAAGCAGCCGTTTTGGCAAATAAAAATGCTTCCCAGAAGCATGACAAATGCAAGACTAACAGGTTTATCGCATCAGCTGCCTCTCTCCAGTTTTAAATCTAGGTCTTCCTGTAACAACCAAAAAAGTTATTTCTCCTGAGGCTGCAGCTAATAATCTACTCAGCCTGCCTCTCCACCCCTTTCCTCAGAACAGTATTTCGAACAGCTTCCAGAGTGAGGAAGACAGCAATATAAGAAGCAACGGGGGACGGGGCGGGGAGCCCTTAGATTTGACAGTAGCAATTCTGGATTTGACCTTTAACTCTGGGTGACCTAGGGCCTCAGTTTCCTCCTTTGGGAAATGTTTGGTTCACAACATGAGGGTTTGTTTTCCAGCCGCCACGCCAAGCAGGATGGGTCTTTTAAAACCAGTGGTTCTCAACGGGGTGATTCCGCCGGCCAGGGAACGTCCCGCAATGACTGGAGACATTTCAGGTTGTCTCCACTGGAGGAGAAGGTGCTACTAACACTACTGGATAGAGACCAGGGATGCTCCTTAACACCCTAGTGATCCGATCCCAAATGTCACTAGGGAACAGATTTGCAACCATGAGGTCCGCTCGGAGCTGGCTTTGAAGCTATCCCAGCTGGGGTGGCGGCTCCTCCGAGAGACGCTTCTGTCTCCAGTTTTCCGGGCTCAGGCCAGCGAAGCGCTGCAGACACCCGCCCTCCAGAGTGGACAGGGACGCGGGCGGGGGCGTCCCTCTGCGCCTCTTGGTAGGCCCTTCCGCGCGCGCATCACAAAGTGGACATCGGTCTCCCTCACCCCCAAGAACGCCGAAACGGGGGCTGAAAGGACCTTTGGGCTCGGAAAACTTGGCAGCTTCTCTCGCCCACGACCCCAGTCACCTCCGTCACTGCGGGGAAGGCTTTTCTTCTGGAGAAGGGGTCCTGCCGCCGCCCCTCCTGCCCCGCGGTCCTGAAGCGGTGCCCGTAGCTCTCAGTTCAAGGACTCCCCACACACCCCGCGTTTCCGTCGGGAACCTCCGCCTACGACACGGGCGGGGGCGGGGCCTCCAACCAGCGGCCGTTGCTCCGCCCAACAGCTTCCCAACGGCTGTCTGGCCAGCGGTGCGGAGCGGGGCGCGACGGCGGCGAATGCGCCTGCGTGCGCATGCGTCCAGGTGCGGGGCGTAGCTCGCTCATGGCCCCGCCCAGGCCTGGGGTCTCTGCCCGCCCCATCTCCCAATCTCCTCAGCGTGGCGCCGACGCTGCGTGCGGCGCGGGTTACCCAGAGTGCTCCGCGCGGGGGCAGCTCACTGGAGTTTGGTTCTCGAGGCGGCGGCAGCAGCGGCGGCGGCTCCGGCGGCTCCTCCTCCTCCTCCGGTG